TACAGTACTTGGGTTACGGAATCAGTTTGTCGCGTTACCTAACCTGGTGTTCGAAGCGCAACCTAACCTAATTTTCAATGGTAACCTAACCTAATCTATACAGTACTTGGGTTACGGAATCAGTGTTTGTCGCGTTACCTAACCTGGTGTTCGAAGCGCAACCTAACCTAATTTTCAATGGTAACCTAACCTAATCTATACAGTACTTGGGTTACGGAATCAGTGTTTGTCACGTTAAATAACATTCATATATTCGATTTATGTTTTAAAATCATTATTATTGTGGTTCAATTAATTTATAAATTCTATAAAATTAGATGGTTATATGTTCCGCGTGGACAACTAGTGTTTTTAAAAGTATTTTAAAGAAATGACAATAATACTATTTTATTATCAATGTTATAAATGTTAATTATATTCACGCGCTTTATGTTTGTTTAATATTATTTTATTTATAATTAGTGTAGAATTATGTTATGAGAGCTCAGGTATTTAGATTAGATTTTAGTTAGGTTTTAGGTGTTTCCGCGCAATAATTTTGATGGATATATGTTTTTTAGATCATAATTAACAATTATCTGTTGAAAAAAATCAATTTTTTTTAATGTGCGTAAACTCCGGATTAGCCATACTTCGATCGGTTTATGGAAGGGAAGAGATTGGGCTCAGAGATCAAGAGTTTCAGTCAATTGTTCAACAAAGAAATCTGCAAACAAACGAACCGATTATTGTGGCGGAAGTGTTTGGGACACCAGGAGTACAAACAAGACAACCGCCAATCAATTATTTCGATCAATTGATAGAAATTACAGGACAAGTGAAAGTCAAGGATCAGGTCATTCATGGGTCTGTCATATGTTGGTACGAAAAAGACAATAAACAACTTATAATCATTGATTCCTCGACACTGGCATCAAAAGCCCCCCAAATAATAACATATCTGATGCGTGATTCAGTATTTCCAGTACTGATGACACAAAACCATCAGCCGTTACTTGAATTTCCCGAAGGCTACTCTAGAGGCATATATCTTGGACTCATGATATCAAAACGTATTAAGATTGAAAATCGGACTGTCCTTGTTTTTAACAGTCGTACAGACATACCAAAAGTCAACTGTACGACACATGCGGCAGCTTTGATTTGTTTTGTTAAATCGGTAGTAAAAAAAAGATCGGGTGCTCGTTCAATCACTTACTTGTTGAACAGCTACGACCAGTCAGTTATCGGTCTATTCGCGGCACTCAATCAGCCAATCGATCAAAAGATAACCATCGAATTTGATCGAATGCCCGATTGGAATCACCGATTGACTAATAGATATATGTTTCTCGTCGGCAACGATGGTTACCTCTGTATCAGCGAAATCTGGAGTTCAAACAATTTTACAAATTCTTTACTTAAAGAAAACACATATTTCTTGTGCGACGGATATTTAGATCTCGTAAATCTAAACGGCTATAAAATTTTATTAACTAATGGTGTCGTAAACATAGCCTACAGAAAGACTATTCATATTATACCAGAAGGCGTACAATATATAAATATCATTCGTAATGATTGTCAGCCACTAGATTGCGGTCAATTAAAATCATATATAATTGGTTGGTATACTGTATCGGATTGTGAGTCAAAAGTACTCGAATTGGATTCAATACAACTGTCCAATGATTTGTTAGGCCAACCAAATCCAGTTCATTCATATCAACCGGTGATGGTATTGGCCGATATCAACGATGCTTTGATCTATGAATACAAGTCCAAAAACCAAATTGTCGGTCACTTATTGTTCTCTCTATCGTACAATCATTACGACTACAATTACTTTGAAGACATTTTCATTGTATTCATCTGTTTAGACGAAACCAATTGGTCGACTGCCACTGCATTGTATCAATTGGTCGGTGAATGTACGGTAAGGTATCAGAATTCGTGGATCAAAACACAATTGAATGCACCGGTGATCTCCTATTTTGACAATTACTCTAATCAAAAGCCAACTGTAAATCTTATTGAATTAACTGCCGACCAATTGAATCGATGGAAACCGAGATAAGATAAACCTTTTCCAGCTTTTGCCTTAACTAACAATTGGCGGACAATTTTTTTGCCGTTTATCAATACAACACAAATGAACGGTTGGCTTAATGTTGGCGTCAATTTGGCTGAACGTCAACGAGTTATTCAAGTGTTTAGTTTACAATTTCCCAATGATTACGGCATAACTCTAAAGAAACAACGAGTCTAACGATTACTGTATATATAAAGTATTAATATATCATATAAAGCATTTATTTTTTGTTAATAAAACATTTTGATTTTAGATATTATTAGTTTTTTTTGTTAGCAATACAGTATTTATATTAATAACTGATTTTAGTTATTATTAATTTTTTAATATTCAGTATAAAATGATAAATATTTTTAATATGTCAATAGTGAGCACACTATTTGGCTTAAGACCGCATTCCTCCACATCTCCTCAAGTTTACAGCCATCGGGCAAAGCGTATCGTCGGGTGAACTGTCGTGCAATCCATTAGCGATTATAACTTATATTTTTTATGTTTGCCATCATTTTCAATATACAATTTGAAAAAACAAATGAATATTTTGATATATAAAAAAAAATTTGTTAAAATTACTAAATATTATTTAATAATTCAATAAACTTTAATATTCATAAATAATTTAAAATTAATAACAAATACTAAAAAATATAAATAAAAAATTAGATTAATATACATAAATAATTGAAATCATTTTTTCTTAGATTAAGCAATAATTATTAATAAATCCATTTTAATAAATAAAAAAAAGTTTATTTTCTGTAAATTCTACGACAAATATATATATACACTACACACACACGATATTAATAAATATATGAAATAAATATGATTACGAGTTGGTCTCATAATCATCTGATGATAAATTTAATCATAATCATCAGTTAAAACAATACGCTCGTGAAAATCAAATGCAGTATTCAATAATTAAATAAAAATAATACTAAAAAATATTATTAAATTATTACATTAATATTTTTAAAAAAAAATTAAATCATTATTCTTTTAGTATTTTGTTTAAATAAACGATAAGCAAAATTCAATAAACAAAACAGACTGTTTGATCCAAAAGAAGTGAGACAAACAACCAATCAATCAACAAAAATGGCAAACAATCCAAAACTATTATATCGAAAGCCAAGAATACTTCGATCGGTTTACGGGAAGGAAGAGATTGGGCTCAGAGATCAGTCAAAAGATCAGCAAACAAACGAACCGATTATTATGGCGGAAGTGTTTGGAACACCAGGAATACAAAGAAGACAACCGCCAATCAATTATTTCGATCAATTGATACAAATTATAGGTCAAGTAGAAGACAATGATGAGGTCATTCATGGATCTGTCATATGTTGGTTCGAAAATGACAATAAAGTTATAATCATTGATTCCTCGACACTCGTACCACAAGTAGAACATATATATCAGATGCGAGATTCAGTATTTCCAGTACTGATGACTAAAAACCATCGGCCGCTACCAACTTTTCCTGAGGGCTACACTACAGGCATATATCTCGCACTTATGAAATCAAAAATAAATAAGACTGACACTCGGAGTGTCCTTATTTATGAAAGCCCTACTGAGATTAAAAAAGCCAACTGTTCGACACATGTGGCATATTTATTTTGTTTTATTCAATCGACAGTTAAAAAACAGTCGGGTGCTCTAGTAATCGATTACCTGTTGGATGGCTACAAACAGTCAGTTATCGGTATACACGCGGCACATAATCAGTCAATGGATCAAATTATTACCACCGAATTTGATCGAATACCCGATAAGAATCAACGATTGACTCATCGCTATTTGTTTATCGTTGGCAACGATGGTTACCTATGTATTAATCAATGCTGGGCTTCAATAAAACACATCAATTCTTTGCTTAAAGAGAACACCTGTTTCTGTTGCGACGGTAGTCTAGAATTGACAAATCTATTCGGCGGTAAATTTGAGTTGACTAAATGGGTCGCTCGGGTACCCTACCGAAACACTATTATGATTATACCCGAAGGCGTACAATATATATATCTTGTTCGTCATGCTGTCAATTGCGACCAATTAAAGACATACATATACGGCTGGTATACTGTATCGGATTATCATCCAAAAGTACTTGAATTGGATTCAATACAATTGATCACTGATTTATTAGGACAACCAAATCCAGTTCATTCATATCAACCGGTTATGGTATTGATGGACATCAATGATGCTTTGATCTACGAATACAAGTCCAACAACCAAGTGGTCGGTCACATACTGTTCTCTCTATTGTATAATCGTTGTGACAACAATTTATTTTTCGACATTTTCATGGTTTTCATTTGTTTAGACGAAACTAATTGGTCGACAGTCACTACATTATATCAATTTGTCGGTGAATGTTCTGTAGAGTATCAACAATCGGAAATCAAAAACCAATTGAGAGCACCGAAGATCTTCTATTTAGATAAAAAATCTGACCAAAAGCCAACTGTAAATCCTATTGATTTAACTGCCGACCAATTGAATCAATGGAGACAGAAATCTAGTAAAAGATTGCCTGTTTTTGCTTCCATTAACAATTGGCGGACAATGTTTTTGCCGATTATCAATACAACACCAATCAATCGGTGGCGTAATGTTGGCGTCAATTTGGCTGAACGTCTACGAGGTATTCAATTGTTTGATTTAAAGTTACCCAATGATTACGGCGTAACTCAAAAGAAACATCGGGTCTACTAATGATTAGACATATGTATAGAGTATTTAGTTTGTCATATATTATGATTGTATAAACATTTTGATTCTAAAAAACTATTATTTGTCTGTTTTTTTACTATTTGTATTAATAAATCATTATTTTTTCGTTTTTATTATTAATTATTTTATATATTTATTTATATAAAAATGATAAATATATTTAAAAAGATATTTAATATATTAATACTTAAATGTTGGCTTTAATACAACTATTGAACGGTTGGCGTAAAGTTGGCTTTGGCTCTTCAGTTGTCTTTATTGGAGACACAAATCAAAAAGTCAGACAAAAAAAACAATGATTTTATGTAAAAATTTTATTCAGAAATTTTTATTAAAAAAAACTCTTCAGTTTAATAATTGTCGAACTCTTTCGTCATTATTATTGTCATTATTATTGTTTACATTTGATTTCGGCGTCGATTTACTTAACAATTGTCTCACTTTTTCATTTGAATCCACTTTTTTTATTTCATTGGTGACAATACTTTTCTGTTTTTTGATTTCAGTGGTGACAACACTTTTATGCTTTATTTTTGTCTGTTTTTTCATTACGGGATTCACTTCTTTCTTATTTTCAATTTTATTCTTGTTTTCAATTTTATTCTTCTTTTCAATTTTATTGTTCTTCTTTGGATTTGTGGACACAATCTTCTTAAAGTTGATGACATTCATCTGAATTCGTTGTCCGCCTTTATTCGGCGGTTTATCGACAGGTGTTTTGTTTTCTTTTTTAAACACGTCTTCCATTCGCTTTTGAATGACTGAAAAATTTTCTGGTTTTTGATCGTCGGTTTGAATGTCGACTTTCTTCTCGATGTCAACCATTTGTATTACATTTTCTTCACTTTTGCCATTTATAGGACTTTGTGTTTGTGTTTTGTTCGCGACTTTTTCTTTAAAAAAATATAATTACAATCAATAGATATTTTCAAATAATTTTTTTTAATTATAAATACGTTTTTTCTTCAGACAAAAACAATAAACGAAAAGCAAAACAACGAGAAGAGTCAACGCAACGATCAGAACAATTGACAAAATCATAATCAATGTGTTTCTGTTGGTATTTGTTTGACTTTTGGCCACAACTGATGAAAATCCCATCGAAATTAATAAAACAATTGATATTAAAGACATTTTTTAAAAAATATTTGTCTTCAGGACTTGAAATGAGTTTTGAATTTGATTTTAAATGTTAAACAATTGTTAGAAAAGCGAGACTTTATATTACAAAAGCATTTCATTTACTGAGAACTGAGGAAAATGAAAACAAGAAAAACACAAGAGTTTTCATAAGAAAGAGTAACCATTCCGTCTAAATCTGTGTCCAATCGCGCGAAACTGATCCGTCAAAGACTGCCGAAATGAAAGCAAATCTTAATAAAGTCGTCATCGAATTTGTTCCGAATCGAGTCATCAGTTTTTTTTCGTAAAACTGGTCACTAAATCGGTGACCAAACGACGGGAGCGCGTGTTTCAATTCGCGGACAATAATTTTTGTCCAAATCGTAAGACCAATTGTCATGTATTGCCATAAAATTGCCGAAATGCGTCCAAATCTATACTTCGAGACTATACTTCTTATCAAACATATCACACAATCATATCAAATGGATCTGAAGACAAAAGACAAACAAATGGCAACAAACTATTAGTTCAAGAAATGTCTTCATCTTTACTTACAGTTTCTAAATGAAAACACTTCAAATGATCCGTTGGATTAAAAGATTACGGCGTAATTCATAGGACAGTGAAGTAACCACGGATTAACTGATTAGTTATACTTATATATCATATGTTTAGTACAGTTTATCATTTTTTTTGTTAATAAAAATAAATAAAAAAAAACAATGACTTCAATATAATTATTATTATTTATTTTTTTGTTAATATTTTGTTTATTTTTAATATTATCTATCAAAACACACAAACAAAATAAACTTTTTAGTTAATAAAATGATTTTTATTAATAATTATTGCTTAATCTAAGAAAAAATGATTTCAATTATTTTTGTATTTTAATCTAAATAATTCTAATATATAATATAATATAATAATTCTAAATAAACAATTAAAAAAAACAATGACTTCAATATAATTATTATTAATTGTTTATTTAGAAATGTAATTCAAATTTTCATTTTTTTACTTATATATAACACTTTAATGATATTAATAAATATATGCAAAGAATTGGTCACAATTTGGTCATACAATCATTTGATAATAAATTTATCAGACAATCAGTTTAGACAATACGCGCGTGAAAATCATATGCAATATTCAATAAATAAATAAATTTGATTTATTTAATCTCAAATGATTACATTAATATTTATTTTGTAAAAATCGTTATTTTTCAGAATTTCATTTAAATAAACGATAAACAAAATTCGTTAAACAGAACAAACTGTTTGATCCACAAAAAATAACAACCAATCAATAAAAATGGCAAACATTCAGAAAATATTATATCGAAAGCCAGAAATACTTCGATCGGTTTACGGAAGAGAACAGATTGGGCTCAGAGATCAAGAGTTTCTGTCAACTGTTCAACAAAAAGATCTGAAAACAAACGAACCGATTATTGTTGCAGAAGTGTTTGGGACACCAGGAGTGCAGACAAGAGAACCGCCAATCAATTATTTCGATCAATTGATACAAATTACAAAACAAGTGGAAGTCAATGATCAGGTCATTCATGGGTCTGTCATATGTTGGTACGAAAAAGACAATAAAGTTATAATAATTGATTCATCGACACTCGTACCACAAGTAGAACATATATATCAGATGCGAGATTCAGTATTTCCAGTACTGATGACACAAAACCATCAGCCGTTACTTGAATTTCCCGAAGGCTACTCTAGAGGCATATATCTTGGACTCATGATATCAAAACGTATTAAGATTGAAAATCGGACTGTCCATTAACATACCAAAAGTCAACTGTACGACACATGCGGCAGCTTTGATTTGTTTTGTTAAATCGGTAGTAAAAAAAAGATCGGGTGCTCGTTCAATCACTTACTTGTTGGACGGCTACGACCAGTCAGTTATCGGTCTACTCGCGGCACTCAATCAGCCAATTGATCAAAAGATTACCATCGAATTTGATCGAATGCCCGATTGGAATCACCGTTTGACTAATCGATATATGTTTCTCGTCGGCAACGATGGCTACCTCTGTATCAGCGAAATCTGGAGTTCAAACAATTTTACCAATTCTTTACTTAAAGAGAACACCTATTTCTTGTGTGACGGATATTTAGATCTCGTAAATCTAAACTACTATAAAATTGTATTAACTAATGGTGTCGTAGACATACCCTACAGAAAGACTATTCATATTATACCAGAAGGTATACAATATATAAATCTTATTCGTAATGATTGTCGACAACTAGATTGCGGTCAATTAAAGTCATATATAATTGGTTGGTATACTGTATCGGATAGTGAGCCAAAAGTACTCGAATTGGATTCATTACAACTGTCCAATGATTTGTTAGACCAACCAAATCCAGTTCATGATTATCAACCGGTGATGGTATTGGCCGATATCAACGATGCTTTGATCTATGAATACAAGTCCAACAACCAAATTGTCGGTCACTTATTGTTCTCTCTATCGTACAATCATTACGACTACAATTACTTTGAAGACATTTTTATTGTATTCATCTGTTTAGACGAAACCAATTGGTCGACTGCCACTGCATTGTATCAATTGGTCGGTGAATGTACGATAAGGTATCAGAATTCGTGGATCAAAACACAATTGAATGCACCGGTGATCTCCTATTTTGACAATTGCTCTAAACAAAAGCCAACTGTAAATGTTTGTAACTTAACTGCCGACCAATTGAATCGATGGAAACCGAGATTAGATAAGCCTTTTCCAGCATTTGTCTTAACTAACAATTGGCGGACAATTTTTTTGCCGTTTATCAATACAACACCAGTGAACGGTTGGCTTAATGTTGGCGTCAATTTGGCTGAACGTCAACGAGTTATTCAAGCGTTTGGTTTACAATTTCCCAAAGATTACGGCATAACAGTAAAGAAACAACGGGTCTACTAATTAGTTATACTTATATATCGGTAGATATATATACAGTATATCATATGTATTGTGCATTTATTTTTTTGTTAATAAAACATTTTGATTTTAGTTATTATTAGTCTATTTTGTTTGTAAGAAAGTATTTATATTAATAAATAATTTTATTTATTATTAATTTTATAATATTCAGTAACAAATAACGGCTTAAATCTATATTATAGATAGCCAGCAAAAATATACTGTTTTTTTAGGTAGTTATACAGATATAAAATGTTAGTTTTATTATTAATTCTTATTTAGTTAGGTTAGTTTGGGATGGGTGTGAGGTTAGGAAGTGGTTAGATGTGTGTGGGGGTGGGTTTGGGGCAAATAATTTTCTAATGGCTGTCTATAATATAGATTTGTTCCCAAATAACTAATATTTTTAATATGTCAATAGTCGGCACACTATTATGCTTAAGTCTCGTCTACGCCATCAAAGCCGTCCATACAAACAACACATAACCGCTTCAATAAAGTTCCCGCAACACAACCACAGGACATATATACTTATCGCAAATACTCCGATACGTTCATCAATATTACTATATCCTAACTAATTAAAAATTATTTATATCTAATGACACATAATAGCAATGTATACATACAGGACAATACAATCTATTGTACACTTAACAACACAATTAAAATCAATATGTCCTTAATTTATTATAACTTATAATACATTGTTTATATTATATTACAAGTTAACTACAGACACATTCGGTTTAAAATCATATTTAAAAGACTTCTTTAATATTATTCTAGTTAAACAATTATCGTATTTCTTTATTTAAACTATTATTATGTTATATAATGTCATGTTATATATGTCAAATAACGTCTACCATTAATACCTACTACAGCCTAACTGTATTGATTGGAAAGTGTTCCGTTAATACGGTGAACTTCCATGAGATCCGATATAGGTTTTACGCGCATATAAGCTTTGAGCAGTGGTCAGTGAGCCCGAGAGGGTCATCCAATGATTACTTGACACCCGTGAAATGTCCTATAAACTACCCAAACATAAATTACGCGCATTACCTCTGCAGTGATATCCATTACATTATATATTCACGGTATCCGATTATTCGGACCGTATTAACGGGACCAACCTTATATAACCCTTAAAACCATTCCCGTTACAAAATAATATAAAAATAATAAATACTAAATATATATATATATATATTAGGGTTGCGAAAAGGGGTGGGGGTAAGGCCATCTTACCCCCCTGAGTTCGAGAATTTGAGGTTTTACTTCCCTGGCCTAAAACCAAAAAGTTAGTGGGCCCCTACTTTTTTGATTAATGTAAATTTTAGTTTTAAACAAAGATATAAATACTAATTGAGTTTTAATATAAATAAATAACTTATCTTAACAAAATAAATAAATAAAAACTTGATAAACACTGAAAAAGTTGGGTCATCTCAAGGGTGGATAGTCCCTTAATAAATAACCACCAATTAAAAAAATATTGATATATATATTTTTATTTTATAAATTTATAATAATTGTTTATGCTTAGTAATAAACAAATTGATCTGTATTTTTCAGATAGTATAATAATTACTAATAAACTTAACTAAATTACAATTTAATTTTTTAAGACGTAATAATAAATACAGTACAATATCATTAATTTTAAGACAACAACACTAACTATTTAATTAAATACTAAAAACAAGTAATTAAAGTAGTCCTTATTATCATATATATATATTATGTAAAACTTCATTTTTTAAATATTGTAATATCTTGTGTGAATTTAATGGGAATTTATTGGGAATTTATTGGGAATTTATAATAAATTGGATTAAAATACAAAAATAATTGAAATCATTTTTTAAATTAAGATTAAGCTATTAAGATAATTATTAATAAACTCGTGGTCTCACAATCATACATCATATCAGTTTAGACAATAAGCGCGTGAAAATCAAATGCAATATTCAATAAATAAATAAAAATAATACTAAAAAATATTATTAAATTATTACATTAATATTTAAATGTTTTTTTTTATAAAAAAACGTTATTCGTTCACTATTTCGTTTAAA